GTCAACAGTGGGAGGGCTCCTAGTGTCCTCCGGTGTCCCCACTGCTGGACCTTCTGATTGCACCTGGTATTTTTGTCCACTGTGTGACAGAGAGTAGGACTGGATGGGCCATTGGCCTGATCCAGCATTGGCTTCTCTTATGTTCTTCTAGGGAGCAGAGGTCCATCAGTGGCTATGAGCCACAAGGTATAGATAGGAACTCTCAGGCTGGGGCAAGGGATGCTCTGTATTCTTGGTGCTTGAGGGGGGCAACAGTGGGAGGGCTTCTAGTGTCCTGGCCCCACTGCTGGACCTCCTGATGGCACCTGGTATTTTTGGCCACTGTGTGACACAGATTGTTGGACTGGATGGGCCATTGGCCTGATCCAACATTGGCTTCTCTTATGTTCTTCTATGGAGCAGAGGTCCATCAGTGGCTATGAGCCACAAGGTATAGATAGGAACTCTCAGGCTGGGGCAAGGGATGCTCTGTATTCTTGGTGCTTGGGGGGGGGCAACAGTGGGAGGGCTTCTAGTGTCCTGGCCCCACTGCTGGACCTCCTGATGGCACCTGGTATTTTTGTCCACTGTGTGACAGAGAGTAGGACTGGATGGGTCATTGGCCTGATCCAACATTGGCTTCTCTTATGTTCTTATGTCTGGGGCAAGTGATGCTCTGTATTCTTGGTGCTTGGGGGGGACAACAGTGGGAGGGCTTCTAGTGTCCTGGCCCCACTGCTGGACCTCCTGATGGCACCTGGTATTTTTGGCCACTGTGTGACACAGACTGTTGGACTGGATGGGCCATTGGTTTGATCCAACATGGGCTTCTCTTATACTGAATTAGACCTCTTGGTCCATCAAAGTCGGCATTGTCTACTCAGGCTGGCAGCTGCTCCCCAGGGTCTCAGGCTGAGGCCTTTCACATCACCTATTAGCTGACCTTTGAACTGCAGATGTCAGGGATTGAACCTGAGACCTTCTGCATGCCAAGCAGAAGCTGTTTCACTGAGCCACGACCACTCCTTTAACACTTGGAAAAGTTACTATTTTCTATGAACTATTTTCTGGAGCGTGTCTCCCACCCAGAAATCCTCCTCTTGAACCACTTATGAGTACTGACAAAGCGGTAAATTCATCTCGTTCCTGGGAGTGAATCAGTGCAAGGGTCATAGCAAAAAAGAAGAAGAAGTGGTACACGTGACGCACCTTTGTAAGGAAAATCTACGTATCTATCTTCAAAAATGATCGGCAGCGTGCTCCAGTCTCCGTCAATGTCGAGGCACTCTACAGGTAAGGGCGGCATGCTGGTGAGGTATGCGGAGGTCCGGACTTCTGAAGAAACCTGACTGTGATGCTGGATACTGTGGTGAAAGGAACAAGAGGAAGCAAATGTTAATTCTCAGTGCTGTACTGACTCTGCATTTCCAGTGCGATTGACTAATTGCTGGTTTGTTCACTTTCCTTCACTTTGGACAGCATAGCCGTCTAGCTACTTAGACTAGATTAGAGCACCTATCTCTTCAGTATCCTATCTAGAAATGGAGTTCCTATAATAAAGTACGCTTACTAGTTTGAAAAGATACAAGGGGCTCCATGTAACTTTGTTCAGGGACGGCACATGCACTGACTATCACAGGAGGAGGTAGTTCCACTCTATTCTGCTATGGTCAGGCTTCACCTGGAGTATTGTGTCCAGTTTTGGGCACCACACTTTAGGATAACTTTAACGCCAGTAGCTCACAAAGTAGAATTTTTGCTCACAGGACTCCACGGCTTAGAGGGAGCATTGGCTATGATCCATTCCACTGTTTTTTTCCTCCCCTCATTCCATTCCATTTTTTATGCCAAACTTTGCAAAACTACACAGATGCAGAGAAAAGGGCGGAATCTGCATTAAGACGAATTCATTTCCGGAGACATTTGTGACAGATTTAAATTTGGTTGCACGGAAGAGAGTTACATCTGTGCTGTGGCAGCACCATTGGGCTGCAAAAGAAGAAAACATGTGGAGCTACAGTGGGGCTATTGGGGCTCCACCCGCTTCCTTAAAGGGCCCCCTGCTTCTTCCCAAAAGCATGTAAAGGGATTCTCAAAAGCATGTAAGGGGATCCTTTAAGAAGAAGTGGGGGAGGAGATAAAGTTGCCAGCTTTAGGTATGGAAATTCCTGAAGATTTGAGGGGTGGAGCCTGGGTAACAATTGTTGCCACTCTCCAGGTGAGGGCTAGAGATCACTCAAAATTACAACTGCTCTTCAGGTAGCAGAGATCAGTCCCTCTGGAGAAAACAGTGGATTCTGTCATTATACCCTGCTGAGGTCGCCACAGCAAATTGACACTGTTTGCCAAAGCCAGAGCACTCTCCCAGAGCCTCTTTCTAGATATCGTTGTATTTATAAAGGGGCATCCAAAATTATTTATATGCAGAACCACGTAGATGAAACGCAAAAAACGTTACTTACAGGCTTTCCTGAAAAGTCAACCCAGTCAGCTTTTCCTGCTCAGTATAAAAGAAAGCCTCAGAGAATCTTCTTACCTGGGAAGAAACACACACGTTACTCTTCATATCATCCTCAATGCAGTACATGTTGACTGCAACTAATTCTTAGTGAAGCTCAGTGAGTGCGGCACAAAAATTGAACTTGTCCCGCTTACATTGCCCGTTTATCTCCCAGTTAAAATAACTTTGAATTGGTGATACATTTGCAAATTAAACATAAGAAGAGCCCTGCTGGATCAGACCAGTAGTCCATCCAGTCCAGCATCCTGTCTCACACAGTGGCCAACCAGTTCCTCTGGAGGGCCAACAATAAGGCACAGAGGCTGAGGCCTTCATAAGAACATCAGAAGAGCCCTGCTGGATCTGACCAGTGGCCCATCTAATCCAGCATCCTGTCTCACACAGCGGCCAACCAGTTCCTCTGGAGGGCCAACAACAAGGCACAATGGCTGAGGCCTTCCCTGACAAGAACATAAGAAGAGTCCTGCTGGATTAGACCAATGGACCATTAAATCCAGCATCCTGTCTCACACGACGGCCAACCAGTTCCTCTGGAGTGCCAACAACAGTGCATAGAGGCCGAGGCCTTCCCCTGATGTTGCCTCCTGGCTCAGGGATTCAGAGGTTCAGTGCCTTTAAATGCAGAGGTTCCCCTCAGTCACCATGACTGATAGTCAGTGATAACACCTCTCCCCCATGAATCTGTCTAATCCTCTTTTAAAGCTGTTTATTCCTGTAGCCATATGCAACAACCTACGTTTTGGTCATATGTACTAATTTTGTCTCTGGACTGCTGTCGGTGCGTGCTGGAAACCAAACGGCAAGCTGTTGTGGTGCATGGCACTTCAAGATAGGCCAAATAGCTATTCTGAAGCACCCTTTTTACAATCCCCTCCCCAGGCAGTTTTAAATGGGTTGGTTGTGGGAAAGACATCAGAGTGGTTAGACTGAGGTCCAATAGAGACCAACAAGATTTTCAAGGTGTCAGCATTCAAGAGTCAAAGTTGGAATGGAAATTAATCTGTGTATGCCAGTCAGGAGATTGGGGGGGGGTGTTGCAGAGAATGCTTGTAAAAGATGCAAAGGTGCAATCCAGAATGTAAGCAGCTTGAATAGAGCAGAAGAGAAATGCTGGAGGGCAGGAAATTAGCATCTGTAGCGAGAGAAGAACCCCATGTCAGTATTAAGCCCTGGGGGATCTGAATCAACTCATGTTCAGCAGTCTCACATTGTAATTTCCCCTTTATGTTTCTTTGTTTGGGGACTGCCACTCTTAGGTCAGCAATGGAGTTATCTGGAAGATTAAAACGTTCTCCCGCTGGTTTCTGTCAGAAATTTCACCTAATTTGCCCCTTCTTTCAACTCAGTTGGCCAGTCCCCATGCATTTAATTGAAATCAGTGGATTCCACCGTTAAACACAAGGTATAATCTTAGATAGAAATTTTTTTTGCCTTGGAATATTTGACTCTGAGGAATCCCTAAGGGTGTTGTCACAGCTCAGGTGGGGTGTCACCTGACGCTGCCACCACTCTGGTTCCAGGCTCCCTTGAGAAGGCCCAGAGCACCCTCCCAAGACCTTCAGACCTCCCTTTTGGCCGAATAACAGGCATGAGGACCAGGCAGAGTGAAACAAGGAAAAGGTTGATTTTATAGGAGGTCAAACAAACAAGTTGCAGAATAATAACAGTAAGTGGGTGAAAAGAAAAGAAATCAAATGCCCTAACACATCTAAATATCTACTTTCCCTAGCTCACTATTCCAAGTGACACTAGACTACTCACCCTTCCCTCAGCATGAGGGTTTCTTCGTGCAGCAGCCTTCCTTCTGGCTCTGCCCTCTGGAAGAAAGAACAGCTTCTGCTCTGGCACCAGCCCTTTGGTTCCCCAGCCCTCTTCTTCCCGATTGGTCAATTTTGGCTCCAAAACCTCTCAGGGGCTTCTGGGAGTTGTAGGCCCAGCCTCACCTACTGCTAGCCAGGCTCCCTGGGGCTAGTAGGCCTCTGATGGCACAGCCCAGATCATGACAGGTGCATAAAAGAAACTAGTAATGCCTTAAGACGAGTGTAGTAACCTAGGTTTGGATCCAACCAGATTTTCCATTGGTGAAAAGGGGAGGATGGCTGCCCTTCGACCAACAAAAAGCCCATGCCTGGGACCACGGTAGGGCTGCCAAGTGGGGGCGGGGGGCGGGTAAACTCCCGCTTCAGATGTCTGATTCCCGCCGCCGCGGAATCGGGGGTAAACCCCCGCTTTGGAGGCCCGATTTCCGCCGCCGTGGAATCGGGCCCCGGGGGGAACCACGTCGATCACATTGGGGGCGTGGCCCCGATCATTGAAGGGAAAACTCTATGGTTTTCCCTCCGACGATCGGGGCCACGCCTTCAATGTGATCGACGTCGCACGTCACTTCTGGTGACGTGCTGGTGGTGCGCGTGCGCAAATCAACGGACAGCTCCCGGAGCCCGGCGAGGCTCCCCTGCCGGTAAGAAAAATTGACTTGGCAACCCTAGACCATGGGAACAGAATGGATGAAAGCCATGTGGGACAGGAGCTTTAGTAAAAAGGGAAATTAGGGCTGCAATCATACGCACTATTCGACCCAACATAGGGGCGATTGCTGGGTGGATTTAAAGGGCTCCATCGGACAACAACACCTGGGAAGCGCCCTGCAGCCACCGGCAACCCATTCTGCTCCGCTGCAGAAGCGGAGTTAAAGGACACCAGGGAAAATCCAGTAGTTAACGGGCTGTGACAGGCCACAGATGGACTTTCCTGTGTCTGATCGCTCCAGCGCACTCTCATGGCATTGGAATGGTCTGATCAGGCCATCCTGACTCCGTGCCATTGTGCCCCAGTATGGGCATCATCGCACACTCCATAGGGAGCCCTTGGTGCGGAGGTGCGATTCATCGATCCCTTGGTTAAGCGCATGGGGCAAAAACGGCAGAAAAAAACACCCGACTCACCGGCAATTTCATCTGATCACACACTCACAGACTGCGCCCGCAGCTTCAAAGGAAGGTGTGATCGTGCAACTGAGAGTCAAATTCCTCCAGAGGAAATAGCCTCGCTCCCCCCCCCTGTATTTTTCTGGTGCGTGTGACCTAGGTGAGATTGAGCTAAAAAGTGGGCTGGATCCAACCCCTAGGAACATATGTTGTATCTGTTTCTTCAACCAAGTATCACTGGGCACTGTTTTGTAGCCAATTCTATTGAGTTTCTGCTGTTGGGTGTGGCCTGTTAGGCTAATGAGTTCCTGCTGGGCGTGGCCAACTCAGGAGCCAGCCGGAACTCCGTCCCTGTGCGTTCCTGCCCAAAAATAGCCCTGCATATGCAACAACCTATGTTTTGGTCATATGTACTAATTTTGTCTCTGGACTGCTGTCGGTGCATGCTAGAAACCAAACGGCAAGCTGTTGTGGTGCATGGCACTTCAAGATAGGCCAAATAGCTATTCCGAAGCACCCTTTTTACAATCCCCTCCCCAGGCAGTTTTAAATGGGTTGGTTGTGGGAAAGACATCAGAGTGGTTAGACTGCTTACCCTTAGAGTGTGGTGCTCCTGAACGAGATAGGCCGTGACGTCGGGATGCAGGGTGACCACCTCCAGAAACTGGGTCCAGAGCGCCAAGAGGTGAGAGCAAAGCCAGGTGAGATCTTTGCTGATCTGCTCTGCTATCTTCTCTGGACTATTCAGCATCTAGAACAGCACAGCATAAAGATTATCAGGTCAAATCGGTAGTGATGATCTGAAATACATGGGCACTTTCTTACATGCTAGATAACGTCGTTTCAGTCCACTTCGGCGAACATTTGCAAGTGGATTTTGCCATTTCGCACAGTATAATCCAGTTACAAAGTGAATTGAAAGTGGATTGAAAGTGCATTATTTCGTGCCTGGGAAGGCAAAGAATATATGGATAAAACTGCAGAAAATTCGAAATATTAGAAAAAACTGAGATGTGTTTATGCAGGAGAAACAAACATCCACTGGACACAACCCTGGCAAGGTTAACTCTCCCACTGAAACTAACAGGATCCAAAGCACTTAGATGTGATTAAATATTCCCAGACACGCAGATAATTCAGATAACGGGAAGAGTAGGATATCAAACCACCACTGTATTGGGATTGCATCCTACCACACCCTGCAACTAAGTACAGAACCTTCCTCTTGTGCAAGGAACTTTCATCCAGATGAAGACCTCCCTTGGACAAAAGAAGAAGTTTCCTTGCACTGGATAAAAAAAAAAAAAAAACTTTGGAAGGGCAGAGGAACTAGAGGAAGTTCTGTATCCAATAATATTTTGTTTTTAGGATGCAAACAAAACAAAGGTAATTCTTCTGTTGGTTTAGAAGAAGATAAGAGGAAGAGAGGAGAAGAGATTGGATTTATACCCCGCCCTTCACTTGGAGTCTCAGAGCGGCTTACAAACTCCTTTCCCTCCCCCTCCCCACAACAGACACCCTGTCCGTGCACTTAACTACTACACCAAACTGGCTGAGGAGAATGCTAGGATTCAACCCTGTGGACCGCATGCCACCGACTTTCTTGTTCATTCCCACCCAATTCCCTTTCCTTATTATCATTCCTATTCAGTCAAGGTCCAGCAATCCCAGCATAGCTTTTTTTGGTGAACAAAGGGGACTCATTCTTGTTTCTCTTTTTTTACTGGCACAAAAGGTGGCTGGATCCAACCCTAAATCTCTATGTGCTGCCTGATGGGCAAATTCCTCAACATGCCTCTGAAACGCACAGAGATTATCTCTCATTGCAATGACTGTTGTTTCAACAAAGTGACCCATCTTCTAACATGCAACCCATCTAAACGCTTAGCCCATCTCTACTTCGTATCTTCATGCTACCTCACAGAAAACTCTGGAAAGCCACGTATTTCTTTATTATTCTGGACATTTCCCAATAGAGTTGCCAGCCTCCAGGTGGGGCCTGGGGATCTCCCGCTTTTACAACTGATCCCCAGCTGAAAGAGATCAGCTCCCCTGGAGAAAATGGCTGCTTTAAAGGGTGGACTCTACGGCATTGTACTATGCTGAGGCCCCTCCCCTCCCCAAACCACGCCCTCTCCTGGCTCCACCCCCAAAGTCTCCAGGTATTTTCCAATCCAGACTTGGCAACCCTATTTCCCAATCTGCCTGGATTACTAGGAAAAGAGAACATCAGCAAGCTATCGAAGGCACTGGGGAGATCTTGATAGTCACCATGAAATGCCAGAAAAGATGGTCACCTGGCTTCTTTTGGACATGTACCGAAGTGCCTTAGTAAATATCACTGACAGTTGTTTTCTTGCCTTTTCTCTGTTACAGATGTCTTGATTTTACGTGTTTATCACGGCACGTGCATGTTTTATGCCATTTTAACGCAAACAATGCAAAACCAGGGGTCATTCTGATCCTAATATTTCTAGTAAATGTTTTCTGGTATAGATGAGAAAAGCACTGACTGCCATTTTGTTTCCAATGGGGAAGGGCCCTTGGCACAGCCTGAACCTCTGGAACCAAAATTGTATGGTTCATTTAAAAAAAAAAAGAATCTGAGTATAGTGTGTGTGTGTGTGTGTGCTTGTGAACCTGGAAGTCATAGTGACTTCTGGTGACCCCTAGTGGGGCTAGGGCATTTCAGAGAGGTGGCTTGATATTAACTGCTTCTCCTGCCTGGCCTTGGTATTCCTTGGACGTCGCCCTTCCAAGCCCTTGCCAGTGTCGACCCTGCTTAGCTTCCAAGATCATATGGGATCGGTCTTCCCTGAGCTATCCAGGTTATGGCTCAAAACTGTATGGTTCTGAACCTCAGCGGTATCCCGAAACCAAAGAAGGGAGGCGACAAGGTAGCTCTTTTGCTGAGAACAGCATGATATTGCGTCTGAGAAATTGCCCCATAAATCTGCAGTAGGATTTGACATCTTTCATTTATTGACAGCACAATCCGAAAGCAGAGTTCTACACTCCGAAATCCATCCGAGTCAACGAATGTATAAGGTTGTGATTCAGATTTTATTTTTATTTTTTGCTGTCAAGTAGGGTTGTCAAGTGGTTGCATGTGTCGCAGCGGGGGACTCCTGGCCGGTGACTTGAGCACGCGCACCACACGCATGTCACCCAGAAGTGACGTGACAAAGCCGGGCATGCTGGGGGCGGGGCCACGACCATCCGAGGGAAAACCATAGAGTTTTCCCTTGGATGACCGTGGCCCCGCCCCCAGCGTGCCCGGTGTCATCACGTCACTTCTGGGTGACGTGCACGTCAGGGTGAGGTTCTCCCCGGGGCCCGGTCCGCCGGTGGCAGGGAACGGGCCTCTGGGGCGGGGGTTTCCCTGCCCCCCGGGGGGACTTGGCAAGCCTACTGTCAAATCACAGATGATTTATGGCAACTCCATGGGGTTTTCAAGGCAAGAGATGTTCAAAGGTGGGTTGCCACGGCCAGCCTCCGCATAGTGATCCTGGTGTTCTGTGGTGGTCTCCCATCCAAATACGAACCAGGGCCGACCCTGCTTAGCTTCCGAGATCTGACGAGATTGGACTAGCCTGGGCCATCCGGATTGGGCAATTCAGATTGCATTATTGGTAATTCTACTACCTTGGTGACTGAAGTATTGTTCATGACATATGCATCTCTGTGTGTCCGTAATTGTAAAATACTATGTTTACAAAGGACAGTAGCTAGATGTCAGGATCTCCTGCCTGGAAAATGCCCTGATCAAGGCATAGGAAGGAAGGAAGGAAGGAAGGAAGGAAGGAAGGAAGGAAGGAAGGAAGGA